CATTATTCAAGTCGGCATGTGGACGACTAGTTCCATTAAGATTCAATTTTTAGACAAATTTTTACCATTATTCAAGTCGGCATGTGGACGACTCGTTCCATCAAGATTCAATTTTTAAACTTTAGACAAATTTTTACAATTATTCAAATCGGCATGTGGACGACTAGTTCCATCATTTTCATTTTTAACTTAGATAAATTGTGGCATTTTCCTAGTCGGTATTTGGACGACTAGATGCTTTGAGATTCATTTTTAACTTAGAAAAATTGTGGCATCTTTCTAGTCGGTATGTGGACGACTGGATGCTTTGATATTCATTTTTAACTTAGAAAAAATTGTGGCATCTCCTAGTCGGTATTTGGACGACTAGATGCTTTGATATTCATTTTTAACTTAGAAAATTTTTTGGCATCTTTCTAGTCGGTATGTGGACGATTGGATGCTTTGATATTCATTTTTAACTTAGATAAATTGTGGCATTTTTCTAGTCGGTATTTGGACGACTAGATGCTTTGATATTCATTTTTAACTTAGAAAAATTGTGGCATTCTCTTAGTCGGTATTTGGACGACTAGAAGCTTTGATATTCATTTTTAACTTAGAAATTTTTTTGGCATCTTTCTAGTTGGTATGTGGACGATTGGATGCTTTGATATTCATTTTTAACTTAGAAAAAATTGTGGCATTTCTGGTCGGTATTTGGACGACTAGTTACATTGAAATTCAATTTTTAACTTAGAAAAAATTGTGGCATTTCTGGTCGGTATTTGGCCGACTAGTTACATTGAGATTCAATTTTTAGACAAATAAAAATTCCCCGTTCGTTAGGGTCGGAATTAGGACGACACGTTCTGCAACACTACAATTTATATATATAACTTGTAAGAACGAGTATATAAGAACAACCAGCCGTGAAGTTATGTGAAAGAAAAAGATACTTCATAAGAGTTTTCAATAGAAATTCAGTAGAGTTTTAAAAGGACAACAAGGCAAGAGTTACAAAATATGGAAGTCGGATAATATTGCAGAAATAAGACTCAGTCGTCCTCGGGGGGATCTACGAGTTGTCCATCTATGATCTCATTGAAATAGCCAACGCCTTCAAGGTCAACATTAGCATGCAAAAACTTCACTTAGGCGACGGCAACATCGAAGCCTTGGGTAAACTTCTTCAATGAGTCCATTTTGATGGTATGTATGCCAGTTTGTAACTCCTCGACCTCTGCCTTCAAGTTTGCAATGTCATTTTCAAAAACTTGAGCAGCATCGGCATGCTTGTCACGCGCTAGGCGAGCATCCTCCAGCTCTTTCATCATTACAACTTTCTCTACAGCCCAAGCTTGTTTCTCATCTTCAAAGACACGACGGCCTTCCAGTAATTTATCTCGCTCAGTGGAGACCCACTTACACTCAGCTTTGCTCTTAGTCAAACTATCTTCCAAGGATGCAATCTTCTTCCCCTGCAACTTAGTCTCTCTCACTAAGCCACGAATGTTGTCTTCATTGATAAACGAGAGCGCCGAGAGGCGATTTGTAAGAGATTCGACGCCCTTGGCGATAGTGAAAGCACTCATCTTCTCCAAATCGCCTCCGTCCCCCTCTAGCAAAGCGGTTCCACGAATGTGAGCGCTATGGTTAAACTTCTCATCCCAGAAAGAAGCCACGTTGCTACGGTCGGCTCCGTGGTCCACTGGCTCCCAGTTCTCGCCGAGGCACGCGCTCAGGGTTCTCTCGGCAGATTGAACCTCCGTGTCGCCTTTGTCCATCTCGGTGACCATGACCGTGTCCAAATTAACCACCGATACAGACTTGTCGGTTTCGCGACGATGCTTCTGCGGGGTCCCACCAATGGATTTTGACTTCACCACTGGACTCCTGGTTTCCGCGACCTTCTCGGTAGCCGACTCACCCACTACGGCAGCTTCAGAAATCTTTTGTTGTTTCCATAGCCTCATCATTTCTCGGTTGCTCATGCTAGCCATTCTCGCTGCAAAAATTACATCAACAAGTTAGCCTAAGAAGAAGACATCAACAAGTTAGCCTAAGAAGAAGACATCAACAAGGAAAGGAAGTTCATGGTGTTCAAACAGTAATATACCTATATATATTTTCAATTCTTGCGCCCTATTCTCTAGGTCTAGGAGTTTCCCAGTATTGAATACGATTTTCAAATCTTCGATTTTCTTAATGTCAATCCGATCACTCTCGGAGAGCCTCTCGAAATCTAGCCCACCAAATGCTATCGTGTTCTGGTTCTAGTACAAAGGAAACCCCTCTAACACATTTTCGTGACCAGGTAAACTACGAATTCGGAAAAATGATCTTTTGAAGTCCTTATAGGACGACTGGAACAATGACAATAAACCCCGACCTGAGACCCCACTAAGAGACACCCAGCTACTACGTTTGCTAGTCCTACTCTCAAAGAAATAGAAGAACTTATCCACAGTCGGGGTTATGCCGAGCCCAGTACACAAGATTTCAAAACCTCGCACAAAAGCCCAACTATTTGGGTGCAGTTGGGTCGGGGCAACACCTAAGGATCGAAGTACCCCCTTTTCACACTCGGTAAGGGGCCATCTCACCCTAATCTTAGAAATAAGGGTGGTATAACAAAAAGTGAACTTTTCAGTTGAGGATGAACTAAGACATACTGGCTCCCTATCAACGCAAGGTTCACACAGAACCAGTTCATCCCCATCACTGCAAACAACATAGTCTCTACAAAAGCTATCCATGGCTTCCCAGGAATTTATCAAAGATTCACTTTTCAGTGCGTCACCCTTAACCCATTTGTATAACTCCCCATAACCCACGACGGCCATTGCGAATATAATCTTAGATTAACCTAAAAGCTCAAAGGTTTGCAAGAAAAATCACTAAGAAGAATGAAATAAATACGCGTACCTAAGGGGTTCTCACACAACTTCACCCACTAAAAATAGTTAAAAACCACCGTGGACCACCGTAACTCAGAATGGAGAAGCCGAGCCACCACCGGAGAAGAAAAACGCGCGACGAAGAAGAAGCAAATGAGTTAAAAAAATGGGTAGCCCCCCTATTTATGGAGGTGAAAGGTCGCGCGTGAGGGGGGGCGCCCAAAAGTCACAACGCGCGTGGGACGTTATGACCCCAGCCAAAGGGGGCCCCACATTAATAACCCTCACAACAGAAGCTGCCACGTGGCATCATCATTACACACATCCCTATAACGCCGTATTTGTAATAAATACACGTCCCTGCCTAAGTAAGGGGAAGTGGCACGTCCCATCGACTCCCAGGAAATCATGATGCTTACAAACGTGTCGGTCAATCTCCGACGCCTTCTCTCGGTTTACTGCCTGGGTGATTCAAAGAAGGGGATCGCTTTAGCCTTTTCGCCTCATAGGTTCAAGGCTGGAAGGCAAGTGTAACGTATCGGTCAATCTCCGACGCCCTCTCTCGGTTTACTACCTGGGTGATTCAAAGAAGGGGATCGCTTTAGCCTTTTCGCCTCATAGGCTCAAGGCTGGAAGGCAAGTGTAACGTATCAGTCATTCTTCGACGCCCTCTCTCGGTTTACTGCCTGGGTGATTCAAAGAAGGGGATTGCTTTAGCCTTTTCGCCTCATAGGCTCAAGGCTGGAAGGCAAGTGTAACGTAGCGGTCATTCTCCGACTAACGGGTTTCGATCCTACATCCTCCCTAGTGGTAAGCCGACTTGGCTCTCGGTCGGCTCTTTCTTGATTGGTCACTCGGTTAACACCCGAGTGGAGGCTCGCCGCAAATTAGCTCGACCATAACCCGACTACCCCCTCGACCATAATCCGACTACCAACTCGGCCAAAATCTGATCTGACCCCTCTACATGGGTGCACTCGGTCAGAATCCGACTTGTGTGCTCCAACTCGGCCGCCAAAATCCGATCTGACCCTCTCACATAGATAATGGTCCGATATCAGGGACAAAATCTCATCTTTAATGACAAAGTATTCTCTAGGTTAGACGGTTGAAGAAATCCCTACATTCTCGGGGCCCAGGAGGCCCATCAGCAAGAAACGATAAAGCCAAAAACCCTAGAATTGAGAAGGCAGATTACACTTTTGAATGCTTTGGCTCTAAGGCACGATCTAGGAAAAAACCCTAGTCCACCCTTTGACCGGAACAATAAGTATATGCCACATCGTAATATCACATTCTAATTAGTTGATTAAATAATTATATATTTCAAATTAATTGATATTATTAATATAACTGATTCAAGTTCTTAATAAATTCAAATTAAGAAATATCTCACAATTATATAATCGGTAATTTAATATACACACAAAGAATGTTACTTAGACAAATGTCAGGTGAGAGCACCTCAATTTTTTTCTCACTAAAATATACATATTTTTATTTTTTTATTCATAAAAATATATACTTATATTAATTAACGTAATTGTTATTAATATGATTTTTATAATTTGAATATTCAAATTAATAAATAAAATACTTTCTGATTCAAATTGATTTATAATATAAAAATATATTCTAATTTAAATTCATAGCATAATTAAATTAAAAAATCTCGCATAGTTTGAGTTTCATCAACTAAAAATTATCTGATCAATTCAACTATAAAAGTACCTTTTATACATCGTTGTTTTTATTTTATGGTTTCTTTTTAAATTAGTAAACTATTAACATCTTTTCAATTCTTTTTTTATCAGGTTTTAATAGAAGATTTAACATAATAAAACACACAAATTCATTGATTTTTTTAATTCTTTATCTAATGTAAGGTCATATCTATTTGAATGCTTTTCTACATGTTTTGTCTAATATTTGATATTAAAATTTTGCGTACTGACATCATTTTAAAATTAATTTCTTCAGTTTCAACTATTATATAAAAAATAAACATATAAAAATTAAAGGAGACGTTTTACAAAATAATATACGAGGAATTCTACTACTACAGACCGATGGAGTAGTCGACAATTAATATTACCAAACAACTTAAAATTTAATCTGATACTTCTACAATAATAGTTTTCTCTAAAAGTTACAATTATTTTGCTAAATAGACGAAATTGAAATATTTTGTTATTGAAAAAGTACAGAAATATGGTCATAAAGACATTATTAGCATCGACGTTATAGTTGTTGACTGTTTGAGAAAGGAGTTACCGCCCAACATCCTTTAATGGACATGTTGTTTATTAATTTTTCTATAACTTTTAAATTAAAATTTAATTAATAACTTAATATATTAATTTATTTAAAGCTATATAATTAACTTATTATTATGTTTTAAAAGTGAACAAGTTTTTCATGAATTTAAATTGAATTCTAACTTTCCTAATTCACGCCACCTTATTCCCATTTCTTGCCGCAGACCCTGTTAATTTCGTCACTATTGGGCCTTCGACTTCGAGATTAGGTCCAAGTCCTTGAGCCTGCAAGGTACAATTTGTGAGACAAAAACATTTCAAACAACGCATGCATCTATCATTATTCGTTACATATACATACACACATTTCAAACTTGGAGGTGTTCCATTGGTGCATGACATTGCCGAAGACATCATAGAAAGCTATTTGAAGCTGAATTTGAGAAATGTGTACGGACATGAATCCTTGGCCATCGTAGTAAAACTTCATCTCCTCTCCTTTTCTTCCTTTCTCATCACCTCTCCATGCCCTCGATCCACCACCACTTGTCAAAAATTCAATTGAACTGCATCCATTTTTTTTTTTTTTTTTTACTTTTATACATTGCTTTCACATAAAGTAGGGGCTTATGTAACTATCCCTTATATTCTACCATGCGTCCTTAAGTTTTGCATGCATGTATAAGATATTTGAAAATGATTAATATCAAACATACATGGGGAAGTTGTTTACCTGTCAAGGCTACTTATATGTTCCAAGCAATGGTCGTGTCCGTTTATGTACAAATCAACATTATTTGCCTGCAAATTTTCTTTGGTCTTTATCTTTTAATTTTTAAATTTTTATCAGTCAATTATTAAAAAAATTGAATAATTAAGTGAAATACCTGAAGAACTGGGAGAAGATGTATTAAAAGTTCTTGGGTGTCTCCATGATGTCCAACGCTTTTGATTGTATGATGCCCAATCACTACCTTCCAGGTCGCTGTTGATTGTCTTAATGCTAAATCCACGTCCTTTTCAAATCCAATGTCAAATATAAATAAAACGATTTCCCTTCGCTTGAATAATAAAAATTAAAGTATAAAAGTGTACATCCACACACAAAAAAGACAAAATAACAACTAAGAAAATATCATCATTTAAAATTTCCCCTCAATTGTCATTTTTTTTAATAGAGAAACAAACTTAAAGGGAAAAATATATAAAAGCAAGGTGATTTAAACTTTCTCTCAATTATTCATTATAAAATTACCCGGAGAAGTTTAGAAATGTAACGCTTCCTGGGTAATACGCCTCTCCAATCATAGCTATGGCCTTTTGTGTCAATGAAGTATTTTTTGACAAAAGGAGTTGTGTCTACGAAAACCAAGTCTACATTTTCTGCCACCAAATAAAGCATAATTGTCTCAATAGCTTTTAATTTTAACGGGCGAATATAATAAATCTCTACTGGGTAATTGAAATTCTAATAAAGTCCTTATCTTTCTGAAAAATGAAATAACAATATTTTTTTTTCTCATGACTGAAAAATATGAACATTCTAACATTAAAAGGGTTTGATGATTACCTGAATTAACAACATATGATCTGAAGCAAACCCATCGATTGTCCCTATATCCAAGGACAGGGCTTATTTGTGCCATGGCATTTCCCCTGTAGTCATGATTTCCCAAAACTTCACAAAAACAAGAGTTAAACGAAAAAAAAGGAGTATTAACTATATATGTTTATAATCAATTTCAAGAAAGAGATACCTGTGATTTTGATTTTAATTTTCTTTTACTCTTTAGCTTCCCGTGTTTCATAATCTCTAAAATTATAAAGTCCTTTTTAAAAGCGTTTCTTACCATTGTACCATTTCTTCTGCGAGCTAGGTGCTGTGTAGATGTTGGTGAATGATTCTTCAAAGGCTGGATCATACACTCCGGTTAATCCATTGTCGTAGAAGTTATCTCCCGTTGAGATCACAAAATCAATCTCCATTTTCTCTCCAATTACACCCATCTGAAGAATATTAAAAATGTAATTGAGCTGTATATAAAATATTTTTTGGATCATCATGAAAGAAAAAAGTAATCAAATGATATGTGTGTTTTTTTTTGTTCGTCCCTGAAGTATTCATCACCGATAGCAGTGATTAATCTCCTCGCTACGTTGGAGGCACCTCAAAGAGTGGGATAGCTAGTCCCAAGATTTAACGCGGCTGCATACACAAAACAGGATTCGAACCCTGACTTTATGTATTTTTTTGAAGGCAATCAAAAAATTATTTATACAATTCTTATTCTCCGAGCGTAAGCAATATCTAATATTTTATATCTTTTATTCGTATTAATATGTAGTTGATTGAAGTGTTATAAAAATATAACTTTTTCATCGAACAACAATTGATAATTGGATTAACAAACATAATGAGTTTTATTTATCCTAATGATGTGTTTTTCATATGCATGATTAAAATTTTATACTTTTTATTAACATGTTTAAAAAACTCAACTATAATTGTTGATATAGACAAATTGAATTTTTTTTAGTGTGAAAATGATAATATTAAGTGTCTAATTAAGTTAAGTGTATCTTACAAGATGGACATTTTTTCTCTCTATAAATAAATATTAAAAAATGAGAAAAAAAAATTATTTTAAGAAGATTAAAAATTGGTTTTCCTAAGTACATTTCTTTGATTTAAATATTTTTCTCATTTTTTATTTATTCAAATAAAGAATAAAAGAAAAGTTGACATAAAAAATATAGAAACCATTTTTATTTTCATAAGTTATGAAAATGTTGTATATTTTTATTTTATTTATTTTTTCTAAATATTAAAAAATTATATTATTTTAACAACAAAATGAAAATAAAAATAGAGTGAGATTTTTTTAATTATTTTTAAAAATAAAATTTATTTTCGAACAAGAATTAGAATTCTTTGGAAAAGTGACATGTGACTCCATTAAATTTGATGTCTTGCTCTTGCAGTTGCAGCAACAATGACACCTGGTGGATGAGATACAAGGAACGGAAAAAACCCTTTCATGTTAAAAATAATTATTAAAATAAATAAATAATCATACTATTTTAAGAATGTAATTCAATCTAATATATCCATTCATTTCTATAAAATAACTATTTTAATTTTAATAATATATTTAAAATAATTTAATTAGTTACTCTCACGGTCTCACCTCAATTTAAAATTCACCTGATTTTGATAATAATAAAAAGCAACAACATTCTCTCGTAGGAGAATGAAAGTGTTTGCAGCTTTCTGCAAAGGAAATGAATAAAGTTGTTAATACCTGAAAAGCGACTAGAGATTGGTTATCGGCTCCATTTCTACCCCAATCTCCAATCACCAAGAACCTTAAAGACCCATCTGCTTTGGGTGCATGTTGGAGTTTCTTAAGCTTTGCTTTGGAAGAAACAAAACAGAGTGTGAGAATCGCAACCATAAGAAGGAGGACACAACTGCTTCTGTTCCTGCCCATGATTATGCTCTTGCTCTTGCACTAGAAAGGTCTCATAGTTTGAGTAATGTTAACTAGATGCGTGAGTTTAGGTGAAATATCAAATCACTCTTTCAA